GCATGGAATGCCCCATATATAATATAAAAATATAATATAAATAAATATAATTTTTTTTTCTTCTATACATAGATCAAAATTTTAGATATAATTGACAGACTGAATATAGATAAATTAAGTAAAAAATTTTACGAAATAAAATAATTTGTTGTCGAAAATAAAAAAAAAAAAGTTATTTTTGATTTTTTATAATTTTCGTTTTTTAAAGCTCTGTAAGTTTTTTCCTATGCATTTTAGCGAAAAAATGAAAGAGACAATTCACCAGCAGATTCATCACTGGTTCCTTCGTGAAGCGATGGCACCGCGTGCATCTATGCTCAGGGTTAAATTTGTGCGTTGTGCGATTTATCGTGAGGTTGAAAACTATTTTGCGGGCTAATCTTTATTGGATTTTCAGTTTTGCTAGGTGGTGAGGACAGATGTACAATAGACGAGCTGGTGACCAGTGGTTCGAAATCGGTAGCTGTATTATGCTCGACTGAGCATACCTGTTGAGATCTAAGTCCTTGCGGTAAGAACGGTATTTCTGCACAATAATTTTGTGATGACGCTGCCAGGTGGAGAGCGATAAATTGTCTAGCATTGTGTGTTCGCCAATAGGTTTTAGAAGGGTTCTAAGGCGCAGAATCCAATTAAATTTCTCAATGCTGTGTGATTCAGTCTCAAAGAGTCTGAGCGGTCACATCTTGGGGAAGCAAGAGTTCCCCATTTTCAAGACGCGGATGATCCATTGGACTGCGTAGTTAATGACCTCAACCGAGATGTGATCAATTCCTAGCTCAAGTGTGCAGCTATGCAGAGAAAAGAGTCTTTTGAAAAAATAAAGATGCGTTGTTTCAAGTTTTTCCAGTAGGTTGGACTCCAGTCCCCAAATGCGCGCCAGGTATAAAACGGTAGATTTGATTATGCTTCTGCAGTGGCTGTTGATGGAGTTGCTGTGTCAGTGTCTGTCAAAAACTGCTGGTATACAACCTCTGGTGATATTGGTGCACTATACTCAGGTATCGTCTGGGAGTACGGTAACGAGTGGGCGTACGTTACCATTACTGGCTTGGATGGTGTATTCTTCTTGATGGCTCCTGTTGCGTGGAAGAGGTTTGACTGCTCCTGGGTGAGCTCTCCCCGTGCTTCTCAGTAGACCAGTAGCGTTGATGGAGGATACTGAGTACCCTCTGAGATTGGTTTGGATGTTGACGTGTGAGACTTGAGTCCAGCGTTTGGTCCGCACTCTGTTGCTAGCTGGTTGGCTAAGACTGAGTCCACTGCCCTGTTATTTGGCGTGACTCTGATGTTGTATACCATCCTGGTGGTCTGCTCCTCAGTAATCTGGAAAGATAACGCTCCTTCGTGTTGTATATGATGGTGGATGTTTTCACCTAGTTGTCTGATGATAGGTTCCATAGTTTCAAGCCGATGGTTGACGGCAACGACTTTTTCAGCTACGTCACGGAAGTTTAAACGCTGTTAATGGGATGTCTCAACTAAATTTGTGACATCGCGTTGTAGTGTCTGGATGTCACGTGTGTTTCTCTGCAGCTGTACACGGACATGCTCGATACCCTTAAGTATATCATCGACCCAGGAGGGTCATTCATTGATGGATCTGGCTGAAGTGACTGTTTGTTGACTAGCATCAGTGACTGAAACTATAACTGCATTACTGTTCATCGATGTTAACATAGGCGCTGCTGTAGCGCTTTCTTGCTGATTGACAGTATTGATTGGACCTGTAACTAAATTACTGGTCACCGGTGTTGATGTAACTACTGCTGGAGTAGCTGTAGTGGTGACTGTGCCGGGCTGAACTGCGAGCGGCCTAGGAATTCATCATAATTTTCAGTGACAGGTGTGTCTGATATTGGATGAGGATCACGGCCATAATTTAAATAAAACGGGGAAATACCTAGTGCAGTGTGAACTGTAGTGTTATAAGCAAATTTTAGGTCTGGTATGTGAAAGTCCCAGTCTCGTTGATTTTGTCCAGTAAATGAAATAGTCATCGGTTTTATGGTACGATTACAACGCTCTACAGGGTTTGCACACGGGTGTCCTATTGGAGTAGGTGTAAGTAGGATATTTTATTGTTTAATAAGAGCTAAAACGTCTTTGTTTATAAATTCTTTACTATTGTCTGAGATAATCTGTTTTACTGGGCCCCAATCAGTTAATACTCCGCGTAAATGTTTTATTATTTCTTTACTAGTTTGTTGTCTTAATGGAAAAATCTCTAAATATCGAGTGTAAATATTTTCAATTACTAATGCATATTGAAAAATCGGATGAGGTCTTAGTATAAGGACCAATTGGATTCATGGAGATAATAGTCCATGGCTGAGTTGGTGGTCTGGTTTTAATGTAGCCTTGCGGTTTAGCTTGGTTACTTTTAGTTTTAAGACAACTCTCGCAAGAGTTAACATAAGAAACGACATCTTGGAACATACCGGGCCAGTAATGAGTCTCGCGGATACGCCAATACGTTTTATCGATGCCTAATTGTCCTGATTGGACATCGCAATGCGCTTTTTCGAGTTGGGGTTTGATTTCAGGTCCCATGAGGACAATTTTCCACGTGGTAATATCGACTAAGCTTTCTTTTACTGCTGTTGGGCGGTAATAATATAATCTTTCATCTTCATACTTCCATTCGGGGTATTTATCTGGGAATTTTTTAACTACTCGGACTTTTTCGTTATACCACGAAATTTCAGAGTCATTAATGTTACAATTTTGAATCGATCAAAGTTCTGTTAATCCAGGATCTTCGTAAAGACGTGACAGAGCGTCTGGAGCTTCATTTTGGGTTCCTCTGTAGTGGATAATGTCAAGTTTGTAAGCAGATAAATCAATAGCCCCCCTAACTAAACGGCCAGCTGGATCTTTTAAGTTATAAGGCCATTTTAACGCGGAATGATCAGTATAGACTGTAACTGGAAGACTTTCTTTGTATCCACATAATTTCCGTAAGGCCCAAACTACCGCGAGGCATTCTTTCTCTGCCGTAGTATAATTAATTTCCGGTTTATTCAGAGGTCTGCTCAGACACATAATTTAATTTTCTCGATTTTCTTTAAAGTCATACTGAGATGTTTAAATGTGGGGGATCAGGTATAAAATCCGATGTTTGGGAAGTACTAGCTTTACAGTTGTCATTGATCGGCTCTACAGAGATATTAGCTGGAGAGATAGCCAATACGTGTGTTTGACTAGCTGTTTCAGTAGTACTGATTGTCTCTACTGCAACGGTTTTGGCTCTGGCTGCTGTAGAGGGATACACCAGTGCACCTACTTGTTTTGTGGATCCGGGTTTCTCGGCAACGGTGCTAAACCAGCCCTGGCCCGAATCTCGTCGGTGGTCTTCGCGCAATATTTGTCAGCTGTATGTCCATAACGTCCACAGCGTGCACAAGGCGTGGAAGATGGCGGTGAAGAAAATGTTTTTTGTAAGTTCTCAAACATGCCTTGCATCGCGGCCTGGAGATTATTTATTGAAGACACGATCACGTCTGAGGTGTCGCTTTTTGGAGTTCTTTACGCGAATTAGATTGTTTGTTAGTTAAAACCGCGTCTAAAGTTGTTTTTTCATTATCTTCGATGATTGACGCGTCTTGATCAGGATCTACATCGGTAACGGCATTCATTGGCGTTCTCGATTTCGTATAATTCTGATTTTTTGTTTTCGATTTACTTGGTTGTTCCGGTTTAGGTGGATTACAAGTATCCATGATCGATTGCCATGCGCCAACGCGTTGGTATAACATTGAATAAGTATTAATATGTTCTTCCGTAAATTTAAATAAAAATTTTGAATTAATTTTTTGGATAATAATTTTAACTTGTCGGCTTTCGAGTTCGTCATCATAAATTTCTTGAAGAAAAGTTTCGTCTGATTGGTGAGTCTGCCATACTTTGAAAAGTGTTTTAAACACTGACCAGTCGATAAATAAATGCTCATTCTGATAATACCAGTCTAAAATATTACCAGTTAAAGTTGAAGCAACTACTGGCCTAAAGTTGTCTAAACCTTAAGGTATATCATTACTGACCATTCACTGTTCCAAAGTCTTAATAAATTTTTTGGCATCTAATTTTACAGATGATTCGCGCGGGGGGAAAAATACATTTCATGATTTCACAGTTCGGCAAATGTCATTAGTCCCTAAGGGTGCGACTGTACTCGGGTACATGAACGAGGGAGCAGCACTTGGGACTATGCCTGGAATACTATATGTGTATTGCTGTGTCTGTGACGCAGGCACATGAAAAGAGGCGATTGGTGCTGTATAAGTATGCGTCACGTGAGGTACAGTAGTGTGTGACTGTGCGTGTGTACCTGGTACATAGTATGGCATCGGTGGTGCTGTATAGGTTTGAGTTACATACGGTAACGTGGTGTGTGATTGTACATGTGTAGCTGGTAGATGCTGAGGCATCGGCGGTACAAGTGGTAGGATATACGGTGGCGCGTACGGTAAAGGCGCAGCCCCACCGAACGTCGAGTTTTGTACTGTGGAGGAGGAAGGTATACTCGGAGGAGGAAAGCAAGGTGCTGGCAGCACGGAGTGATTTCCCACTAAAAAATTTGAACTTAAGAATAATTCCCGCGGCTGAAACGCGTATGTATTATTGGCAGGATTATTATTATTATTTACCGTGTCGGACATCGTTCGAGCTAGGGTACTGGCAAAGGGTGGCATTAGCTGATGATAGGCAGCTTTACAGGCCTCTGCTTCAGATCTTAGTTGTCTAACTACTTCCTCAATAGTTTAAGTTGCACTGTTTGTATTTTCGGGGCCTTGTGCTCTACTTGCGTTATTATTATTTGCGTTTATCGGGTCTAATGAGTCTTGTACTCGGCTTGTATCGTTAACGCTTGAATCTGCGGGGTTTGCTAGATCTTGTACTCCGCTCATGTTATTGCGAAGTATCTGAGCGGGATCAGTATTGTTGTTGTAACTGGTACTATTGTGTAGGTCGTTTTGTGAGTTGTCCAGTCCAAGTAAATCGTCTGATAATTGTGGATAGAGACTTGAACTAGGGGCTTGAGTCGGGGCTATGTCGAGTCATATGCAAAACCAAGCAGCGTCACCTCAGTTGTTCCATTCAAATTGAGGCCGCTGCAACCTTTAGTTTGAAAAAATTTCACCATGTCACTGATGTATAAGATAAATAGAAGCGGGCTAAGAACCTCGCCCTGCAAAACCCGTTCTGTGATATCGATGGCGTCTGATAGGGTGGCACCGGATCTGATGTGCATAGTAAGGTTGGCGTAGAGCTTGATCAGGATGTTGAGGAGTTTTGGACATAATCGATGAGAAGTACTAGTGCGGAAGCTCTCTTATGTCTTATGAATAGTTGTAAGATGGACTGAAGGGTGAAGACGTTGTCGCCACAGCTTTTGCCCTTTCTGAAGCCTGCCTGTTCCTCCGGTAGTAGGCCGTTTGTTTCAGCCCAAAACCTCAGACGTTCGTTGATGATACTGGTGAAAATTTTTGTGACGCAGTTCACGAGAGCTATGCCCTGGTAATTATGAGGGTTACTAGTATCTCCTTTTTTGTGCAGCATGAACATGCAGACTTTGTACCACTCTTGGGGAACTTCGCCGCTGTTGAGGATCTTATTAAATAGAGCGAGTAGAAAGACTGGCAATAGCCTAATCGGCTCGGTACCTGCATTTCGAAAGAGTGGGACCAGGGTTCGATTCCGGCACGCACCAATATTTTTCAGTGATTATAAATAAAGAATATGTGCGTTACGTTGCCAGCCTCTGTACCAGTCGGGTTTCCTGTGGTTTTCCTATATAGTTATGGAAGGTAAAAATGTCATCATAGAAATACCTTCCATACTATTTAAGGCCGTAATGCAAATGCCGGTACTGATTATAACGCGTAAGTCAGCCACAGCCGCAGCACTATGTGTGTGCGTGTCGGGCATGAAAAATCCCGACATGCAGGGGGATGGGGACAAAGAAGGTAGTGATAATAATGGAAGTTAGTGAATACAGAGTAAAGCTGGGATAAAAAGTGTGAGAAACAAGGGAAGTAGTGATAATAATACCCCACCCTACCTTGTAAAACACTGCCCAAGTGATACAAGTAAAACCTCCATTATTATTAATATCATTAGAGCGAGTAGGTATAGCTACCAACTGGTTGGTAGAGCCTTGAGGAAGTCATTCGAAATGCCATCCAGACCTGGCGATTTTCCGCTTCTGACTTTATTTAGACAACTTTGTAATTCTTCATAGGAAATTTCACTGGTAAGAGAGTTTGTGGGATACATTATTTGTAGAAACGGAGGAGCTGCGATGCGAGGTGGGTAAATGCTACACGGAAAGAAAAATATGAGAACTATTCCCAAAATTTTATGGAAACAGTTCCCAGGCAATTATAGGAACTATTCCCATAAATTATGGGAACTGTTCCCATAATGATAGGAAATTTTCCCAGAATTATGGGAGCATTTCCCATAACGATGGGAATGGTTCCCATAATGATATAGTAATGGTTCCTATATCATTATGGGAAATATTCCCATAATGATATAGCAATGGTTCCTATATCATTATGGGAACTATTTCCATAATGGTATAAGAAGGATTCCTAGAATATTATAGGAATCATTCCTATACCATTATGGGAATCGTCTCTAAATAAAATAAAGATAAAATTTTCGTGCAGAGTGAGTTCGATATAATTTCTATAATATATACACGGAAAAAAAATTGATTATCATGTGACAGCAACATAATTTTCCTGTAGTATGCAATAATAATTAAACCAACAATAATAATTAAATAATAATAATAATAATCTATATTATTAATAGAATAAAAAAAATTTTGTAGCCAGTGTATTTATAGATAAAATGGGTTTTTGCTTGGAGTTGTGCCTTTTCGAGGTTTCATATCATTTTCACCAATAGTCAATTTATTATAATAAGAATTTCGGCTGCATAAATAGGTAGCATTCGAAAATGTTCTGTGTCTAGATACATAATGAAGAAACGACCTTGTATCTGGTAAACTATTGACATTTTTGAAGATATAAGCTCATCCCGATGTTACACTCATTAAGATCTTTTATTTGAATACCCACATGTATTTTGATATATTTTTCATATATACATATATATAATATATATAAATATATAAAATATATGAAAAATTGATGTGTGTACTCAAATGAAAGGTCTCGATGAGTGTAATGTCGGAATGAGCTTATATCTTTAAAAATGTCAATACTTCACAAGATACAAGGTCATTTCTCAATTATATGTCGAGAGATAGAGCATTTTCGAATGCAACCTAAATACTTATCATCATAAATTGACTATCGATGAGAATGATATGAAATCTTGGAAAAGCAGAAATTCATGTCAAGTCCTTTACAATGACACTAAATTTCACTAAAAAAATCGATTCCATTATAAGACTATCCAGGAGACAAAATTGTTCTTATTATCTTAATAATATAAATTATTATTATTAACATTATTTAATTATTATTGTTGCTTTAACTATTATTGCCTGCCACATGAAAATCATGTATCTACCACAGAAATGTATCATTTGGTACCCCCAACTTTTTTTTCCGTGTAGGATTTAAACCTATATATCGTGGGAACCATTCCTATATTATTATGGGAATGGTTCCCATAAATTATGGAAACCATTCCTATAATAGTGTAGGAATGATTCCTATAGCATTATGGGAACCATTCCCATAATATTATAGGAATAATTCCTATAATAGTATAGGAATGATTCCTATAGCATTATGGGAACCATTCCCATAATGGTATAGGAATAGTTCCCATAATTTTCTTTCCGTGTACAGTAGAAGTTGACCCAATTAGAAAGTGTAATATTGACAGGTCCGTGGTGAAAGGAGTTGACCAACTTGACGGTTCTCCAGAAATCCGTAGAGTTATTGGTGTTAGCGAACAGGTTTGAAATCTTTGTCTGATGTTCGGATATCTTGCGTCTGATCAGGGCATAGTAGTGCTTTGTGGCAGCATAAAAGTAATTCCATAGAAGTGAGGTGGATCCCTCCCCTTTACAGATGTGCAAGTAGTTGGAGACTAACCGTTTCCTGCTTCTGCATTTGTCGTCGAACCAGCGGGCGCTGATTGGCTTGTATGTTAAAGAAAGTAAGCAATACATATTAGAGCCGTCGGCAGCCTGGGTGATTGCCTCTGTTAGAGTCTGATACAGGTTGCTGCAAGAGGATGACAGGAAATTTTGGCTCACCAGAGGTGACCGTTGCAAATTGGTTTTGAACCGTGCTGCGTATTTTGAATTCCACCTGAGTGATGGTTGAGGCGGTGCATTTGTTGCGAGAGCAGACTCTGGTAAAGGAAGAGCTAGTGTTATAGCTACGGGGAAGTGGGCCGACTGTGATATAATGTGTCTGACTGATAGGTCCTTTACAAAGGCGAGACTTGAGTAATGTACCCACACTAGGTCAATCGTACTTTTACCCAAGGCATTTCCAAAAGTGAATTTACCAGGTATGTCGCCTGGAGTTCTTCCGTTGAGAAGTACAAAACCATTTTCATCCCTCAGGTTGTTCAGCAGATAGCCTTTTTCATTTGTTGTATGGTCCTGTGTAGTGCGCGTGAACTCTAGTGGTGTGTCCTCCAAGATTAATGGAACGGAGCGCTGGATTTGGCCCACACGTGCGTTAAAGTCGCCACCTATGATGAAGACGTCAAAACACAGTGGGTTCAGGATGTCGTTCAAGGTATCTTGAAGTGAAGTACAAGCGTTTTCGAAGTCGATGCTAGGCTTCCAATAGTGATCCGATGATGATTGAAAAGTTGTTACTGGTATGTTTGGTAGAAATTCTGCACTCGGTCTGATATACTGAGTCCATATCGTAATCTTTGTCACAAGCGGTTAAATCAAAAATTTAAATTTTAGATATTTTCAATTTTTTGGTATTTTTTAGTACTCCCCAAAAGAGGTCTCCTGATAAATTTTGAGATTTTTTTGATCACTGGTTCAAAAAATATCGAATTTAAAAAAAAACCGGTCTTTTTTGGTTTTTTGCTCGTAACTTTTTTAATAATAGTCGAAATTCAAATTTTTTTTTCAATATTTTCGTTTTTAAATGTCCTTTTCAGAAAAAATAGAAAAAAAATATTCAAATTATTTTTCATTAAGATTTTTTAATTTTTTTTAATCGTGTTTTCCAATTTGTGTGCATCCGTCGATTTTTTTGAAAATTTGCTATTTTGAACTTCTATTCTTCCTTCAACTTTTAAGCCCGGTCCGGTAAAGGTCCTTACATAATTACTATTTTTTATCAATTTTTAGAAATTATCCGGAGGCACAATAGTGCCTCAAGCCAAGTACACGTTCAACAACATATGTGAACGTGTAGGCGTGAGGCTACTGTGCCTCTATTCCCGAGTCAGATGTCAACATAACCTCACCATATTTTTAACTCGATTTATTTTATTACTACGTTCATAACAACACTTTATACTCACTTTAAATAGTTTAATTATTAGTCCTTTTTATAAAACACCAAAATTTTTATTGTTTTTTTCATTATTTATTGTTATCTGAATTTATAAAATTTTCGGTCCCCCGTTTTTCGATTCTACGAGAGATTTTACTAATTTCGGTCGAATTTTTTATTTCGAAGTTGGTAAAGTTTAGTTCGATGCTGATAGTACACATGTTTAGTATCAGAGTTAGTCCATTTCCATTTGGCATCTGAGATCCTCTGAGGATAGTTACTCTGCTCTAGATTTTTAAGTTGGTACAATTCAATGCTCTGAGGATAATATACTACTACTACTACGGTATAGTATCAGAGTCACTCCATTTCCATTGGACGTCTGACAAAATAAGCGGTTAATTCAAATCTGAATCCATATAAAATTTTATTGCGGGTATTAGTAAAATAATTAAATGCAATTTCATTCTATTTAACGTTTTATCATTATTATTATTATTATTATTATTATTATCATAATTATTTAATTTAATAATAATAATGAATATTTGTTGTAAATATTTGATGTAAATATTTATTGTGGATCGTTTTCATTCCTTTTCCGGATACGGACTGTGATGCTACTAAAAGCATCCAGCAGGTGACACTACCTGTCAGAAAAGTACGAATTCGAATTATTTCAAATATTTTATTAAAATTTCAATCCAAATTTATTGTTCTTGTACATGATTTGAATTACTTGTCCGGTTGTTAACTGCATTGCCTCTAGATGCACTCAGCAAGTCTGACAAATTAGGCGGTTAATTCAAATTTAAATTCATTTACTATTTAATTTCGGGTATTCTTAAAATAAGTAAATATAATTTTATTTCACTTAATATTCCATTATTATTTTATTATTCACATTATTTGTATATTATTATCATTATTATTATATTTGTTAATATTATTATCAAGACTATTATTTAATTATTTAGAAAACTGGTTCTCAATCGAAATAATATTGAGTAAATACAGCGCGATGACTAATATGAATTATTATAATTTTAATTTAAAAAAACGCGCGAAATTTTAAATTTAAAAATTCAATCAAAATTTTATTATCATCATAATAATAATCATAGTAATAAATAAAATTTTTCTGTTTAAAAAGCATGCGAAACTTATAGCTATTTATAAAAATTTATATTTATATCTTATAAAGCGCGCGAAAATTCAAACTTCAAAATTTCAATCAAAATTTTATTATTATAATTATAACATATTATTATTCCAGAAAGGATGCGAAAATCAAAATATAATTATGATAAAAATAATAAGGATAATAATAATAATAATGAATATTTGTTGTAAATATTTAGTGTGGATTATTTTCATTGCATTGCCGGCTGTGAACTTAATGCGCCTATATGCTTCTAGCAGGTGACACTACGTGTCAGAAAAGCGCAAAAATTTAAATTTTGAAATTTCACTTACAATTTTATTATTGCAATTATAATATATTATTATTCCATTATTATTATTATTATTATTATTA